TTGAGTTGGAGTCTCACTCTGTCGCCCAGACTGGAGTGCAGTGGCCGCTCCTGGCCACCGCAGCCTCAACCTGCTGGGCTCCAGCAATCCTTCCACCTCAGCCTTCCAAGTTGCCGGAATTACAGGCATGTGCTACCACGCCCGGCTGATTTTTTTTATTTATTGTAAGAGATGAGGTCTCGCTGCCCAGGTGGGTTTTGAACCCGCGGGCTCAGGCAATCCACTCATCTCAGCCTCCCAAAGGCGCGGGATTACAGGCTGAGCCTCCGAGCCCGGCTTATAATATTTTTTAACAACTGTGATACACTTACAAATATTACTAGGTTGGATATTATGGCTCACGCCTGTAATCCCACTGCTTTGGCAGGCCATTGTGAGAGGAATGTTTGAAGTCACTAATTCACGACCTACCTGGGCAACATAATGAGACTTCATCTCTACAAAAAAATAATATAATTAGCTTGGTATAGTGGGGCAAGCCTGTGTAGTCTCAGCTACTCAGGAGACCGAAGTGGAAGGACCACTTGAGCCCAGGAGTTTGAGTTTTCAATGAGCTATGATTGTATCGCTTGCACTCTAGCCTGGGCAACAGAGCAAGACTCTATTTGTTGAATAAAGTTCCAGGGCAACCCCTTTGGGTCCCCTCCCACCGTGGGAGCTTCTCTGTCCTCTCAATAAGTCCTACTTTCTCACTGAAAAATAAATAGATAAATAAATAGATAGATAGATAGATAAATAGATAGATAGGGTTCCATCCACCTCTCCAAATCCTCAGTAATCAGTATCTGGAGGTTGGTGTATAACATCCCTATGCATATTTTTGTACTTTAACTACATACGTATAAATATTGTCCATATACATAACATTGCTTTGCATGGTTATAAAACAGAAGTAGCATCCAGCCATACAAATTATTTTGCAGTCATTCTCAACACTGCTGCTTAACCAAGTTATAAACACATTGCATCACCTTGCAAGGGTCGGGAAGTGTTTAAGATGCTGATTTTATTAATCGTGGTACCATCCAGGTGAGTGAGGGTCAGGGTCTGGGGAGGAAGAGACCAGTTTGACATTATGGAGACAGAATCTGCAGGACTGTGTGACTCACTCGATGTGTATCTTGGCAGGGGTTTTGGGAGGCAGAGCAACAGGTATAATTCTGGTGCAGATACTTGCTTGGGAGCACAATGCCAGTCACTGAGCTCCACAGCAGGGAAGGGGATACAGGTCAGGTAAGGTGACGGGTTCCCTTTCTGACCTGCTGAGTTAAATGTGACTGCAACACACCAAGTGGTAAGGTTCAGGAGGCGATTGGATATTGAGATCCAAAATTTAGAAATGAGGTCTGGAGATGTAGTTTTGGGCTCCTTAAGCATCAAGTGAGTATTAACTTTGGGAGTGGAGGTAGCTTGGTATAATAGGCTCATGCGGTACCTTTTCCTGGAAAAGGTAGTGGGATTCACCCTCATCAGATTTCTACAGAATTCTGGCATGTGGCAATAAGAGACCTGAGGTAGAATTACCTGATTGTCATATCAGCGTCAGAAGTTAGGGTTATGCTTGAAACATTTTTTCCTCACAGTCACTCTCTGGGTCCCTCTTATTACCCACGATCTGTCTTCCTTTTTTCCTTCAACTCTTACTTGGTTATTTTTCCACTCCTAGTCCCCAAAACAACTGGCTTCCTGAGAGCTTAACTGGCCAGTAATTTCTCACTTATGAAGTGTTCTCATTTATGAAATTTTCTCACCTATGAAATTATATGAATCCTCTCTGAAGGTGATTTCTATTTTCAGATTTTACCATGCCCTAAATGCTAAAAAGTTAATAGACTTTATTGGTCTTTCCATATACTCCTCTAAATTTGCCTGAACTTGCCCTCTTCTTATACTACAAGGAGCCCCACCCATTGCTGGGATTTGATGGCAGTGCATGTGTAACCTGGTATATTGTTCCTTTCCCAAGCATTTCATGGGAACCCTAATCTTGAGATTGGCTGCAGTGTATGTTTTTCTCCAGGACAGGAACCAGATGGGCCACTCACTGTTTTGCTTTGTAGCTCACCGCAGACCTTGTCTGGGAGGGAGCCTTTGGTCATCTTCACTAGTTAGCAACTGGCTTTCCAAGGGGAAATGTTTCCTTCTACATGAAGGAGAGATGCCTACTCCCACACCTGCTCCCCAGTCCCTGCTTCAAGGCCAAAAAGATATTCTGAGAGGCCTCCTTTTGAATAAGTGGAATCCACTCCAATTAACTCAAGGAAAAATACCGGAATAATGTGGGTAGCTACTGTTATTATTATTATAAGGATCCAGAAAGATCTGGGGAATTTAGAATTCTAGTCCTGGTTTTCTTTCTTTTATCTCTTTGATTTCTTTTCTCTTCTTCCTTCTTCTCCTGTGACATCTCTTCTTTCTCCTCCTTTTCCTCTTTTCTGTCATGCTTGCAGAGATGATGTCCTGGTCACAGTCACTGTCTCGATCCCTCTTATTACTCACTGCCTATCTTCCTTTTTTCCTTCAACTCTTATTTGGTTCTTTTTCTACCCCTAGCTCCCAAAATTGACAGCTGGCTTCCTGGGAGCTTGTTATCTGGCCAGCACTAAATGACCTTTTTTGCTCTAAAGCCAGTGGCCATGTGGCAGTAATCTCTCTGTGTACATGATTCTGAGTTCTCAAGAGAGGACCTGGCTGACTCTCTTTGTCTTCCTGAGTTCACTACATTGTTTCTGGGCTGCTGGACAGTTGAGGGAGGGTTCCCCTCAGGTCAGACACACCCTGGGCCAGTCTGTAATGGCAAGGGGCAGGGTTACAGAGCCCCCCTCACTACTTACCAGGGGCTGTGGGTGGTGACAGGAGTTACCAACTACATCTAGCACAAGAACCTTATCCTAGAACCCTTCAGATTAATTTACACAGGGTGATTCTAAATTTGGCTTAAACTACAAGTGGGAAGTCATGGCTCATAAACTGTCTCTCATCACTCTGCACTAATTCAAGGGTATATATCTCCAAAGTAATGAATTAAGCATCTTGCAGCCACGCCAAACATGGTTTGGAATTAAACTTTCAGTGTGAGTTCATTTTACTCATACTGTTAGAGTGGCAGGGATGGGTTTGCTTGATTGCAAACAAAGTCATCCTGGTGCATAAAATGGAGAATGTGAACTATGCTGTTTTTTCTGTCATGGAGACTTTTGGTACTTTATTTGAAACGTTCCCTCTGAAGTTGAGAGCCCTGTGAGAAATCACTAGGGCAGTGAGTGGCAGGGGACAGGTCACGAGCTAGCTCATTCAGAACCTGCCTCCCCCTTCTCTGCACTCTGTGGCTGCTGAGGCCACACCCCTGTGTCCCTTGTGGTCTTATGTCACAAAGCCAGCTATTATTAGATTTGCCTAGAATGTCTGAAGACAAGCTTTAGAATGGGAAATCCTTGTTTCACTTTTTTTTTTTTTGAGTTGGAGTCTCACTCTGTTGCCCAGACTGGAGTGCAGTGGCCGCTCCCGGCCACCGCAGCCTCGACCTGCTGGGCTCCGGCGATCCTTCCGCCTCAGCCATCCAAGTAGCTGTAACTACAGGTGTGCACTACCATGGCCGGCTAATTTTTGATTTATTGTAGAGATGAGGTCTCACCAAGTTGCCCAGGTGGGTCTTGAACCCATGGGCTCAGGCAATCCACTTACCTCAGCCTCCCAAGGCGCGGGATTACAGGCTTAGCCACTGAGCCCGGCTTCTTGTTCCACTTTTATACAACTGGAAAGCATTACAGAACTTGACTTTCAAATTTCCAAAAACGCCCCAAAACCCGCCAAATCCAGCTTGTACAACTTAGTCACAGGAAAACATGAAGAGGTAGAAAAAGTAAACTTGCTTCCACTTCACAGGTGGCTTTGATTTAGAAAATGTGCCTCAAAATTTGGTGCCTACAAATACAGGAAAGGGGTTTGGTTTTGTTTCTTAATAAAAGTAAAACTACTCTAGAAGGTTTCAGGGCTCAACAAAATCTACATTTAAAATCTTTTTCCACTTCTGTCTACCTGGATAGTCTCATGATCTCTCCAGCTGTGGGAAACTCTCATCTTCCCATGATCCGAATTAGGTGGGTTCCAGCTTCTGCAACATAAGTTAATCATCACTACAAACATTGGCAAGCACTGGGGATGTTTTTATTCCTCAGGGACAGCTTAGTAGCTCCAGATAAATATTCCAGTCCAACCAACTGCCTTCTCTGGGCTTTCCTTCCACAAACTTTCTCCCCTATAAGTAAGATGAGTCTAAAGCAGCTGTTGGGCCCCTGGTAATTTACAAAGCAAGGATTATACTTCAGAATAGTTTGCCTTGAGCTGTTGTTGGTATTCAGTAATGTGTTGTCATATAATGTATTTCTTCTTGCACAATTATACAGTGGCCATGTGACTGTTTTTGCTCTTTAAATCCAGTAAGCTTGCTTTTTTTTTTAGTTGACATCTCACTCTGTCACCCAGGCTGAAGTGCAGTGGCACGCTCATGCCCACCATGGCCTTGACCTGTTGAGCTGAGGCGATCCTTTCCCCTCAGCCTTCCAAGTAGCTGCAACTATAGGTACACCCTACCGCACCTGGCTAATATTTTGATTTAATGTAGAGACGAGATCTTACCAAGTTGCCTATTCTGATCTCGAACCCATGGGCTCAGGCAATCCTCTCACCTTGGCCTGAGATTTCTTTTAAAAGAGATTTTAGTAGTTGGATTGCCACATTCCCGTGATCACCATATTAAGAACGCCTGTCTTTGTGACCTCTAACTCTAGAAGAGATTCTGTTCTGTGATACAGATTGTTATGCAAATGAAGACAAAGAGAAATGTCTTTTCCTTGTTTCTCCTCTTTAGAATAAGAAAATCTATTTGGATATTATTCACACATACATGGAAGTACATGCAACTGTTTATGGCTCCAGCACAAAGAATATTCCCAGTTATGTGAAAAACCATGGTATCCTCAGTGGGCGAGACCTGCAGTTTCTTCTTCGAGAAACCAAGGTAAGTTTTTAGTAATTTTGTAAAGATTCACCAGGGATATGGTTTATAGGTTGTCCCCATTGAAAAATTGGATCAGAATCTTCCATGCTTTGGTTCAGGCCATTTTGGGGCGGTGGTTTGCTAGACCCCAGCAGTAGTCAAGGAATTATATAAGGAGTTTGTTGCGGTTTTGTTGTGTTCATTGATTTAGCCAAAAAGTATCTGTGGATGTACTCTGTGCTGGGGCTGGGAATAATACTGCAGACAGGAAAAGTAAGGCCTTGCCTTGAAGGATGGACCTTCTGATAGAGCAGCAGTTTTCAGTCAGCTACTGGTACGAAACTCTCCCCCTACTCAGTCATCACTGTTCAGGAAGTCAGTTCCCCAGCAGCTTTTCCTCACACCTCCTGGTTCATCAAGTATGTACTGAAGAAGTTCAGATGAGGGAAAGTCACTGTGTGCTGAAGGAACAGGGAAGCCATCGTGAGAGATGAAAGATGAAAGAGGGATGAGTGTGGATGCACCTGCCATTTGGGCCAGGCAGCAGTCAAGAGTCAGCTGGCAGGGTTGTAGGAGACAACTAGAAACCAACCCAGCTAGTCTAAGTGTTGGAAAGTGGTAGAAGGTAAAATTGGATAAGTCTGATTGGCGCCGATGGAGGAAGAGTTCAGACCAAGGGGGATAGGTAGCTGGGCGAGCCACTGAGGGTCATTTCGCTGAGCAGTAGCGTGATGACATGGTGCTTTGACACAATGGGGAAGTCCACCAAGTGCCCTCTGTCCTGTAATTCCACCATGGAAGTACCACATGAAGTTCAAGGACTTGTGAATAAACCAGAGTTTGGTCTTAAAGGGTTGGCTGGCTCTTTAATATATTAGACTAGCTCCCTCATGTTTATTAATAAGTTCTTATTTATTAATTTTACAAGTATTTATTGAACAGCTGCTACATTCTAGGCATTGTGCAAGGGATACAAGTGTGAAGAAAGCTATGGATCTCCCTTTCTTAGTGCTTCCCAAAACATAGGGAACTTCATTGCATGTAGTGGATTTCTCAGTTCTGGTCTCTGGCTCACTTTGATTTCAAATTCAAGGTAGGGGAGAGAGGTTGAACAGATGGACTTCTATGGCAGGATGATGATTGCTGATCATTGTGTGATACTTCGTTTTTAGAAATTATATTTACATATGCTCTTCTCTTTGATTCTCAGAACAGCCCTGAGAGGTCGACGGGGCAGGTGTTATTGCTAACTTTATGTTAAACATGATGAAATAGGCTAGTGAGTTTGATTTTCCTACAGTAAATTGGAATCAAGTCTAGGAGTTAGCTCTAAATCATGATCTTTTTTTATTGCAAATGAAAGCTCTGCAACGCCCTTTATGACTATCTTTATAAAAACCCAAACAAGAACACTTAGACACTCACCAACCTAGAGAACACGCATCTTTGCGTCAGTTTCTCCATCTGTAAATGCATTTGATTTGTTCTGTCTCCACGTCGTTTATATGACACCATGAGTAAAATGACTGGCAGGTTATTTAGTTCCTTGGCCAAAGACCTGGCTTATTTTATTGAGATTTTATTTCCTCCCAAGTCATCTGTAGTCTGACGACTGTGAGTGGTCATCCAGGAGTGAAGTCTTTACTCCAGTTTTCACTGTTTGCTTTCCATCACCTTCTGCCTTAGGCTGACATTTTAGAATCATCAAAGTGTTTAGGCCGCTTAATGGCAATGCTATTTTTGCCATTTGCCTCATTTTACTTTTCTCCACATCAGATTGTGGAAAAAGCTTAAGCTCCTTTAAAATAACATTTGACAGAGCTGGTTTTCAGCAGCATGTCATTACTGTCTCACATACTTCTATTAACCCAACCTTGTGAATGTCTCGCTCAGGCTCGCAAATTTTAAAAGAACTCTTACTTACCTACCATCCATTTACCATGTCAGAGACTAGGAAATAGGCCAAAACTGAGATCCCTGGTGTCCAGGGAAGGCCCAGGTCACAATGTTGGAGTTTGCCTAATGAGCGAGGATTGCATCTTGAATTTTGAGCATGAGAGGCATATATTCATCCTTGAAAAACTGGTGCCTTCAGAGGATGTCACTGATCCCATTACGTATCGCCTGTTTACATGACTAGAATATATTAAAATACTCTGAGTGGAATTATGGCTCAAACAGTTGGCAAATATGATGAGGATGAGGCAGTATATCGCTGAGACTCCCCTTACACCCGGAACACGGCAGCAGGCACGAAAACAAATGAACTTTAGGCTTTGAAATAATGACAGGAAAGACCAGTCAGGGTTTGTATAACCCTTTCTGTTTCTATCTCCTTCCTTTGTGCTGCTGAGCAATTTAAAAGCGATTTATTCCAACTCACATTGGAAGTGGAGAACCAGAGCTGCTGAGAAGCAAATTTCTGCAGAATGAATGGAATTCACGCACTCCTCCGACTCGATGCTGGCAAGGGAAGCAGGTCTGGTCTCCTCAAGAAGGCTAGGGACATAGAGAAATGATTGATGCTTAATCATCTTCCTACTCATTTTTCTTTACAAGCCATCTTTGAATCTCTGCACCAAGCCCAGGAAATCCTCTGCTCAGCAGAATTTCATCCTGGTGTGCCATTAGGGGCACAGGCGATTAGCAGCCTCTTGCTTCAAGGGGCCTATATAGATGGAAGGAATTCCATGTAACACTAATACTGGAGCTAAAAGAGCCGGAGAGTTGTTGGAATCTAGAAGACCCTTTTAATGGGGGTATAAATTTGGATGAATTATTTATCAGACAGCCACAGAGTCATTCAGTCTGGCAAACTCTAGGAGTGCGGTTTAAGCCAGCAAATCAAGACTCGTTAGGGTGGCGTGTTTTTATTTTTGGCTTAAATCTCCATCTCTTTTCATGTGGCATCTTTTTTCACCTTCCTGGTTTTAACCTCTTCATGTCTGCCTTCTCCCCCGTCCAGTCTTCCCTTGGGAAGCTCATTATTTCGTATACGATATTGAACAGCTCTTTGCCATGCTATACTGGGTTAGAGGAGCTCACCGGAGTAATTTGTGAGCTGAGCCTCGCACCTCCCTTTCTAAAATACATCCTAGTTGTGGAAAACCAGGGGAAGCTGCCACTGCTACTGTTCATGCTGTTGCTATACCCTTTTTCTTTCTTTTTTTTTTTTTTTTGAGTTGGAGTCTCACTCTGTCGCCCAGACTGGAGTGCACTGGCTGCTCCCGGCCACCACAGCCTCTACCTGCTGGGCTCCAGCAATCCTTCTGCCTCAGCCTTCCGAGCAGCCGGAATTTCAGGCATGCGCTACCACGCCCGGCTGATTTTTTGATTTATTGTAGAGATGAGGTCTCGCTGCCCAGGCGGGTCTCGAACCTACAGGCTCAGGCAATCCACTCACCTCAGCCTCCCAAAGGCGCGGGATTACAGGCTGAGCCACCGAGCCCGGCTGCTGTACCCTTTTTCTATCCAAACTTCCAGTCATTCCCTGCTCCAAGGCTCAGATGGGTCATGACGATCCTGTTTCTCCATCACGTTGGCTCATCAGCTTACTGTGGAACTCAATCTAGAAACATGGATGGGCTTGGCAGATATACAGTGTGTGCTGCCCTGTGCCATCCCATCTTCACTCTTGACCACACCCTCTCTCCAGTCAATGACAGCACTTCTCATTGGGCTTGGATATGTTGGCCAACCCTCTCAGAAAACCAGACCTTAAGGCAGTCACCACCATTGGAACCAGGCTCTCGGGCAGCTCCCAGAAGACAGAGTGGCTTTGTTTGTTCTTTCCACAGGTACATGCCCAGTGCCTAGAACGGTGCCTGACTTATAGAAGGCATTTAGATAATTGTACAAAGAATGAAGGAAGAAGTCAAGATGAAACCCGTGGACCATCTGGGATCTCTGGGATCTCGGCCTGTTCTCATGAGTCATGTGCCTAGATCATCTCCTGGATCTTGTCAGGAAGGGATGCTGTCCTTCTGATACCCCATGCCTGCTTCTCTATGGTGTTGTCTACATCTCCGGGCCCTGTGAATGGTAGCCCAGGAGCTTACTGACTTGCAGGGAACAGTCTGGCTTTCATTTCAGTCTCAGATACTGGTTCCCATTTGACCTCAGGCAGCCATTTCTAGCAGGTCTCATCCTTGTGAGCACACTTTAAATCATTGCCATGCCATCTAGATCGGGGAAAAACCACACACACACACACACACACACACACACACACCCACCCACCTACACCCCTCCTTCCCTCTTTCCCACCCATACATGTTTGTAGAATGGAGAGGGTACAGAGTTATGATTCAGTAACCCCTCTGACTTCCAGAGCAATAGCACATCCCCATACTCCCACACCCAAACACACAAAAACACGTCCAGCCTTTGCACACAGAGACAGTGGATTGCTGGAAATATCTAATCTATTCATATTTCTTCATTCACATTCGCTCATTCATCCAACAAATAGGTATGAAGTATTAGATGTTTTCTAGACCTTAATCTAGCGATTCTGGATATTGGGATGGTTCAGGCAGTTTTGCCCACAAGCAACATACAAGCGTGCTGGAGGAGGTCAACAGGTAACTGTAGCAGTGCAAAAATGTTACTTGGAGAACTAATAGAACACAAAATAATGACACCAACATAAATCCTAAGCATGATGCCGTAAGTAGGGCTGGTGACCCAAAACAAGATAATGACACCAACATAAAACCTAAACATGATATCATAAGTAGGGCTAGTGACCCAACTGTGTAAAGTGTGGTACTATGACTTGTTATATCAATGAGATGGAGTGAGCCTGCTCAGAGGACAAGAGCCACTGTCAGTCACCACTTAACAAATTCATGCTCTTGTGGTATACTTTAACAATAACGGCCAGTCTCTCTCTTCTGTATCATGTGCCACTGTGCCAAGCCCTTTCCATGAATTATCTCTCTTCACCACAAAAATCCTGTGATCATGGTACCATTATAACCCCATTTTAATGAAGCAGAGGTTAAGGCTCCAGTGGTAAA